GTTAACCATTTAAAGATAACTACACATGTGTACTTTGGTTAAAATTGAAAAAAATTGTCGTTTTTGGAAAGAGAAAGTTTCTTGTGTGAGTAAGTGTCTAATAAATATTTTGTGAGAAAGTGTAATGATAAATTATCCTTTTGTCAGTGCATGTGTCACGTGGATGGCACATGTAGATCTCTTGCCGCGTTTAAAATCCGAAACGCTATTGCTTTTTAACTACGGTCGTCTTTTTCTGTAGCGTCGCTCTCGATCTCTCGAATAGAGCTTTTTTTTAGGTCTCTCTCTATCTCCGTCGTCGATTCTCGCCGGAATTTCACCTAGCCAGCGTCGTCAATTTCATATTTCCCGACGATGAAGCTCACCGTTAAGACTCTTAAGGGTCGTCATTTTGAAATTAGGGTTTTGCCCTCCGATACGGTAAGTTTTCTCGTCGTTTACACTTTCTTCGTGTATGCGTATGAGTAATTTTGCGTAGGAGAGTAGAGAAAAGTAGGTTTCTCACCATAACGAGCTTCAGATCCCCAATTTTGAATGGTTAATGATCGAATTTTGTTCACTTGTGTAGTGTATAGATGCTCAAATTGTTACTCGCGAATTATTTTCTATTATATGAATCTGGGTTGGTGAAATTGGTTGTGTTGGTATTCAAGTTTGTGAATCATTAAATCTGGGAATGATGTGCTTGTTTTTAAGGTAATGGCGGTGAAGAAGAATATAGAGGATTCACAAGGAAAAGACAATTATCCATGTGGGCAACAATTGTTGATTCACAATGGAAAAGTTTTGAAAGATGAAACTACTTTGGTGGAGAACAAGGTTACCGAGGAAGGTTTTCTTGTCGTCATGCTTAGCAAGGTAAATTATTCAAAGATCATATATCCTTCTTATTTCCATTCGTTGCAAATTTGGTAAGATGCGCTTAGCAAACTCGGAATTGAATATCCAGTTAAGTTACATCAGTCACTGTATAAAACCGATAAGATCGTGTTAGTGGAAGCTTAGATCAGTAGTTAAGTCCTTAATAGTGAAATGCTTATAGCTGATGAAGAATGAGTTTCCTTAGGCATATGTTGCTTGATGTCTCTTTCATGGTTACTCCCTTGCTATGGAATATTATTTAGCCTGTCATGGCACTGATACTGCCTTTGCCTTTGGTTGTTGATGAACTGTAGAGCAAAACTGCAGGTTCAGCTGGTCAGTCGTCAGCTCAGGTAGCTTATTTATCATCATAATTTTGTACATCACTGGTTTAGTCTGATAATTGTCAGTGGAAAATAATCCTTCTTCTATTGCACAGCCTACTTCCGCTACTACGTCTACCACATCTTCGACTAAGGTAACTTTCTTGCATACATTTACTCATAGAAATATGTGATGAGCAACTCGTTCCACTGGTTTTTTTAATACAAGCCCGTATTGGAAAAGCAGCATGCAGCTCCATCTACAGCCCAGACTACAGCTGTGCCTGCTTCACCTATTCCTGCTCAAGAACAACCGGCGTAAGTTTTATCATTGTAAATCAGCTTCTTTGGAAAATAGTTGTTATCTATCCTTTTATGGTCTATATTTTCATTTATTCTTTTGCGGGTCCTGTCTACTGCCCCTTTTACGGTTTTCCGAAAGTTTCCATGTTTGACCTCTAGTATATGTTGTATAACTTATTTGTTCTGGATTTCATCGATACACTATAATCTCCACAGCTGAATGGTATGTGGCAGGGCACAAACTGACACCTATGGACAAGCTGCTTCAACATTGGTTAGTGGCAGTAGTCTTGAGCAAATAGTCCAACAATTAATGGATATGGGAGGCGGAAGCTGGGACAAAGAAACAGTCACTCGCGCACTTCGTGCAGCTTATAACAACCCTGAGAGAGCAGTGGATTATCTGTACTCTGTATGGCCCCTCTCTGTAACATTATTCCGTAAGAGTTTAAAGGATGAAATTATTGACCCTTTCATTAATGTTTTAGGGAATTCCTGAAACTGCTGAAGTAGCTGTGCCAGTACCTGGGGCTCAGATGGCAGGATCTGGTGCAGCCCCTGTCCCAGCTGTGTCTCGAGGACCTAACTCGTCTCCTTTGGATTTATTCCCTCAGGTGTTTAGTATTATCTGTGTATCTGAAAAGAGTTGATAGGTATATCGAGTTACCTTCTCACTCTATGGTTTAATTTTCCCAGGAAACAGTGGCTGCTGCTGGCACTGGTGATCCTGGGACGCTTGAATTTCTTAGAAACAATGATCAGGTTGCTATTCTAACTTTATCCGCATCTCCCCTAAATCGCAAAGTTGTTTTCTTTTAACCATTTGAATCTCTCCTCGTCAGTCATAAATTATGGATATGAAAAGGGCATCTAGATTGGTTAGAACCAGTTTTCATCAACTTATGCAGAGATTGTGTCTGATATTCATTCTAGCGGGAAATGATAACCTAGATGTGTGTACTTATCCTCTTGTATTTTCTATTGTGTCAGTTCCAACAATTACGCACCATGGTCCATTCCAACCCTCAAATTCTCCAGGTAAGTCTGGCCTAATTTTCGTTATACTGGTCCAGTATATTGTAAGAATTCTCACTGATTCTGAATGTCTTGTGTTGAAAATTGCTGCTTTTGTTACCAGCCCATGCTTCAGGAACTTGGAAAGCAGAACCCTCAACTTCTGAGGCTAATCCAAGAGAACCAGGCAGAGTTTCTGCAGTTAGTAAACGAACCATACGAGGGATCTGACGGGTGAGTCCTCCAATCTGTTTATCGTAGTCTAAGGTTTTGTCAAATGTAGTTTTATGCTTCTTATCGACATTTCACTAAACTATATAAGCTGATTTACAAAACTTGAAACAAAACCCATCAGGGATGCTGACATATTCGATCAACCCGACCAAGAAATGCCACATGCCATTAACGTCACCCCTGCAGAACAAGAAGCGATCCAAAGGGTAAAATACCATTAATTGTTGTAACACTTTGTTTTCACACTCTTTTCTCATTACAATCCTTCTTTAACTATATTGCCTTGGATCTCTTTATACAGCTCGAGGGAATGGGATTTGATAGAGCCTTAGTAATAGAAGCCTTCCTCGCGTGTGACCGTAACGAAGAATTGGCAGCTAACTATCTATTGGAGAACTCAGGAGATTTTGAAGACTGAGTTTCACTAAACAATCTCTCTTCTTTGAAAAAGTTTTGGCTCTTTTTAAGCTAAATCCTTCTTCTCTTACGCCTGCACCTTCTGTTGGATATGCATATTTAATTATCTTCTGAGAATCAATGTGTGGTTTTCCTGCTGGAATTTTACATTTCTCCGTTTGCGTTTTCATGCGATCACGTGTGTATTTTACGCGGTTGCAACGTTTGTGATAGATCTTATGTGTAAAAGAAAGCATGGATACACAAAATGTGATCACGTAATTCTTGAGGAGATAAAACATAAAGTGTAATAGATATTTATCATAAAACTGTTTCCTATGTTATTGGGATTTATGGCAATTCACGGATTTTCAGATGTTGAAAGGTTAACCATTAAGATAGTAGTTCAGGCAAACCGGTTTCAATTTGGTTAAGGCAAACCGATTGCTTCCTAGTTTGGTATGAATTCTAAGTAGCAGGAGTGGTCATCTGGTTCCGAAGAAACCGTTGCCTTAGCCGGCTGGTTTGCTACAAATCCTGAAATCGTTAAAGTAATCATTTTATAAAACATTTTGAATTTTCTTGCATCGGTTAAAGGTCTAAACCGGATTCGGTTATATTAATAAGGAAAGAAGAAAATTAATTCTGCATTAAATGTAATTTGTTTCTTATCCATTCTAGGTTAATGAAAGATAGACGGTCAGTTTTTTTCTGTTCTCGAAAATATATAAAATATACTATTTGTTTTTTGGTGAAATATATAAAATACTATTTGATTTACACAATAGTGTTAAATAAGGAAATTAGAGG